GTCAGCTGCTGTCCCGCCGTCCAAACCAGGCCTTTCTCGCAGACCGCGGCCAGCTCACCCCGCGCTCTCACACCTGTAGGGTCTCTCCCGTGGGGGTCACTCGGTGCTGGGGGAAACTGTCGCTGCCGAGGCTCTCCCCGCAGCGAGGGGTTCCCTCAAGGTACCGGTGGAAGGGAAGGCTCAGCTCTGCGGCTCTGGGCCGGTTTCGGGCGAACAGCAAATGCCCACCTCGGGGGGCAACACGGATCCTTCGGTGCAGCAGCTCAAGGAACAAGACACCACAGCAGCCAGTGCTTTCTAAGGTGAAGAAAGTATCCAGAGGGCACCACAGCAGAGAGTAATGCTGGAAATGTGTAGGTGGGCTCAGTGCCCTTCCAGGAGATGAGGACCCTGCCAAGCGCAGTCAGGCTGCTGGAGCCCCCCGAGGTGGGCATGTGCTGAGCTGAGGCACGAGCTTAAATCCGTAGCAACCACTGCAATCCGTAGTGAGAACTCACTCCTCAGTAATCAGAGCTCACAGGATGACTGCCTGGGCAGCAGGGCAGCTGGAGAGGCAGAGAAACACTTGCAGGTACCTCTGAAACCCTGCTCTGGGGGACACCAACTGAATCGCAGAGATGTCTTTGCTGAAGGGTGCATCACCTCTCCCAGGCACTTTGGTTAAACAAGTGGCTTATATGGAATTTTAAGCTGAAATGATCTGAAAAGCAAACAAGCACACTTCCAGTCCCCTTGAAGAACTGCAGAGAGGATTGCTCTTGGATTTATCCCTTCGATACCTCAGTGCTGGCACTGTAAGCACAGTACCTGGGCTCTGCTGGCCCAGTAGAAGGCGGCACAGCAGTCACCACTCCTGTGCTTTACAGCATTCTCATGTTCTGTAGTTAAACTGGCCTGTGGGTCTGGCCATGGCAGAGACTACGGTGGTGGATCACACCCACTCAAGAAATGCCATTACGACAGGGTGACTTCTGCAGTAAGTGGACACACAGAACTGTGCCCATATAAGAAAACAGCTCTTCTCACATGCAGGATTATTATGTAAACATCTGCAGCACAGCTTTTCAGAATAAATCTACTGAGACTATTTTTTCAGGCAGGAAATGCAACAATATACAAACCAACCTGGTGGCAGCTGCAAAGGAACATCCATAATCAGTCCCACAGATCATTTGAATGTCAGCGCATTTGGAAGTGCTGCCTTCCAAAACTCACTCAGAGCTCACAAGGTGAGGTGTTTCTTGGTCAAACAGAAGCTTTGTACAATGCCAGTGACATATCTGCTCCTTTCTTTAACTTAAAAAGCAACTAATACCTTAGTTGAAAAGAGGTTTGGTTTTTTTTCTGCAGTCTTGGAAGTGTTGAAACAAAGAGAAGTACAAAAATGTTTTTGACAGCTGTTACTACACAGTTGGAAATAAAAAACGATGACAATGTATTTTCCAAGACAAATGAGCCCCCATTAGGAAGGTAAGAAAACACAGAAATACATACAAATGGAACTGTTTAGCAACACATTATCACTGGCAGATGGCAACACCAGTGTTAGCTGGGGGAGGCATGCTTTGCTTACGGATAAATGAAGCAGGCAAATGAATAATTGCTTTCAGATAATTTGCAGTGTGTGTCAGATATGTCCTTGTGGTCTTGAAGGCTGTAAAAGATTTTAAATCTCCCCATCTGAGAAAAGTTTTAGAATGAGGAGACGTTTTGTCAACTTTGAGGCAAGCCTCTGCAAAGCGGTCACCTCCAAACCCCAACAGCACAGATGTGATACTGAAAACCATCTTTCTGCATTAAGCAAAGGCTGCCTAGTTGCGGGGTTTAAGGATGACCAAGATAGGAGGATGGAGACATTGCAGTGACTAAAATTCAGATTTTTTTTCGTAACACACTAAGCAGTTTTTTATGACACAATGCTGCACGAACAGTTGTAATTTATAGCTGCTGAACTGTGACACTGCATTCACTGAAGGTTAAGATGTAATAAAGAATCGATTACAAAATCTTTGTAAAAACAGGTCTTACCTAAAGACAGAGCACAAAAGCTGGGAAGGGATCTTGTTTATTTTCCCATATTAAGACTGGTAAATAGGCTGAAAGCTTTTTCCATGTATGAAGTGCATACTTGAGAAATACACAGTACACTGAGGGAAACAACATTTCCTAGAATGCCACTTAAGGCAAGCCTTGCCCTTGTCACGTAACAAAGTCATTTCCTGGCAGCTCATGCACAAGAAGGTGGAGGAAGAAAAGGTATGCAACTGTCAGGGAAGAAAACCACCACAAATTCCTGAAAATTCACCAGACATGGCAGAAGGCTTAGCAAGGAGGCCCCCACCATAATGCAAGCCACAGCAACAACCAGCAAAGAAGAGGGGGTTCCTAAGTGGTCACCCATTCCCCTTCACCAGCAGCCTGGAGCCCTCCCCACAGACCCCACTACCCCCAGGACCACCCTCACCTGTGGACTGCACAGCCCAGAAGAACCAGGAGCTCCTCTCTCTCCAGGGAGCCAGTCCACCGTTCGCCAGCCACTGCCGGGTGACTGCTCCCATGCCACCTCTCCTTCTGCTGGGCGCCCGTGACAGCTCCTCTTCCTCCAGTTCTCTGCTCAGGGTTCCAGCCAGCACAGGCGCAGACTGCGGGCTCTACTGCTCTTGTTTAGACCCAGCGCTGCTGCTTAGAACCACCCCCAAGTCTGTCATAAGACATTCCTTATAGTTTATCATTAGCACCTTACAAATTGTTTATTGTGTAGAATATAAATCAAATAAAACCAAGGATATACTGTATCAAAAATAGAAAAAATATTTATATATTCCAAATACATCAATACATTTAAAAATCTGGCTTCTTTTTCTGAAGCGTTGTGTCTGCTTTATTGAGTGAGACTCTTTGCAGACTCGTAACTGCCAGAAGAGACAAGTCAGGAGATGTTGTGAAAGTAAATACATAAAATATGACAATTTAAGGTTCAGGACTTCCCCAAGAGTCCCTGACAGTTTACAACCTAAGAGCAGTCCAGTTTGGAAATGTGACTGATCAGAGAAGTGGGTTTAGAGCAGGTTCTAAGAAGCGCTGAAGAGATCCAGCATTCACTGCAACACTGCCTTAAAATCATCTCTGTGAGGACATACTCAAGCTACACTGACAAGGTGAAACGACACTCAGAAAACAGAGCGGATGTCATCTTTAACACAGATCCAGCATTCAAGAGAACACACACAGCCGAATGTTCGGACCTAAAGGGCTTCCACGTGACACTGGGTGTCAGAGGGCACTTTTGGGAGCCATCACAAAAAGGCCAGAAAAACACCTCCACTGCTCTGCAGCCATTTAACAAACACAGATTTAGGAGCTTTACCAGAGATTGCAAATTGAACCAAAGACAGAAGAAAGGTAGTTGTATTTCCACAATGCTCCCTGCCTTAAAAATCAACCAGGCGAGCATAAGCTGAAGAAATGAAAACTGAAGTCACTGGGGTCTAAACATTCAGTGCTTTATACAAGGGAAAGGGGACTGATTTCTTGCAGGTGAGTTTTTCTCTGGAATATCGGAACTTGAAGGGTGATGCATTTCACAGCCCAAGGCCAGGGAAAAGGTCTCGGCAAGTGTTGCTGTGGGAAGCACCTGCCTTTGGAAACACCAACAAGAAGAAAATCGGAGAGGGAAAAAAGGCTCCATATGACCTGCGTGCTGAAGGCAGGAGAGCGACTGGAGGAATCTGTGCGATTCGTCAGAGCCATTCTCAACTCATCTCCTGGACCACAAGGAGGAGCAGTGCGCCCGCCGATCACTGCCCTGCTGCTAGCACCAGCCGGGAACAGGGTTTCCAGCTTATCAGGAAGGCCTCTGTGTACAAAATTTTCAGGATGGAGGAGTGGGCTCCATTCAGTATCGTCTCCTCTGTTTTTTATTTCCCTTCCTTTTCCGTTCCTTCTCTTTCCGGGCTGCAGCTGTGGTAAATGTGATACACTGAGCATCTAAAAAGTCCAGCAGCTTTGCCTTGGAAATTTTAATGCCATTCTGTTTCAGCTCTGTGTGCAGCTCGGCCAGCTCAATTGGCTCATAAAAGAGAACCTTGTGGTACAGGGCTGTGTTTGAACGGATGTAGTTCTTTACTGCCTCCAGCTTTTCTTCTTCCCGAGCTGCTGCCTGAGATGCTGGAAGCTCCCCTTTCTCCTCCTCAGATACAAAAGCACAGGCTTCAAATCCATTCACAGAAGAACTAAAAGCAAGATCAAGTAGACCAGAGATCAAGGAAAGAACAGGCCATTGAGGACAGGACCAGAGCTTCCCAAATCCCTGGTGGCCAACCCCTGTGACTACCCTCTGTAGGATCACACTCTCCAATGCCAGCACCCATAGAATGAGTGAAGCAGAACATGGCACATGTTTTGCAAACTGCCCCATCCCAGCCATGGCAGCGCTGGTCCTGCTCACCCAGCCCCAGAGCTGTCTGGCATTCCTTGCTCCTGCTGTCATACTGCAGCAGCCTCAGCCAAGGAGCGCTGTGCTGTCCTGTCCCTTCTCTATCCGCAGGTTCTCAGTCAATGCTGAGTGCTCCTTGTCACTCTAACTTGCAGATACCAGCCATGCCAGATTTGGGCCTTGTCCACATACAGCCACAAGCACTTTTGTGTTCCGAGAACAGCTCACTGGGAATTAGACTAAAAAACCAAAGCTTATTTCTTTTGTAGGAGTGTGTTGACTTTCAAATGACGTGTCCAAGGAGGTGGCAGGACCACAAGCCATGTGGACACTCACCTCTGTTTGCCACACTTATAGCTCATCTCTGTCCTGCACCATAGACTCTTTTGTTTAGTATTTTGTTTCCTTACCTCTGTGAACCAAGAGAGATGCTACTTCCATCCACTGAAGAAACTGCACAGTCCCGAGATGCTGAGAACATTGGTTCCTCACCATCTGCTGCCAGAGACCATTTCTCTGGAGATACAGATGACCTTTTCTGCTCTTTGGCTCCTTCTGTGTGATCTGTCATTCTAGCTGCCTCCTTGGCTGCTGCACAGCCTGTTTCACAGGATCCAACAAGGTCATCATCAGCCCTTCCCGCAGGGAGCACAGAAAAAGCTGTAGCAACTTGTTTCCTTTTGCCCACAGCCTTTGACGTACTGGCACGCTTTCCACCTGCAGTCCGGTCTGCCTTTGGCTGCCTGGAGCGTTTGGCTGGGGACTTCTGCAAGGGAGGCTGGGAAGACGGGATTTCATCCTCAAAGTCAGAGTCCACATCCTGGTGAGTGTACTGGAATATCTCCTTCAGCTTCAACACCATCTGGCGTTTCGGGAGAGCACGAACTCCAAATCTGAAAGAGAAAGGTGGGAGCTTAGGTTACAATAACGCTGCAGCTCAGGAAGGGGCTTAGGCCAGGAGGTCCGGTGGTCAGCTGGAAGATTGTGACATGACCTCAAAAAACACTTGACTGGAGCTTCACCAAGCCCAGCTTTCTTTCACACCATCTGCCACCAAGTTCCTGCTCAAAAAGAGATGCACTCGTGGAGGTGATGCTAACCTGCTCAACTCCTTCTTCAGCTGTGGGGTCTCCATGAGGGAGTACGCTGGCATTGGTGTGATGGGAGTGCTGGAAGACTTGCTGTTCTCCTGACAGGATGGTTCTGCAGCAGAATGAAATTACTATGATCAGAATTAGTACAGAAAGGACTTAAAATGGCTGATACCTTCCCCTCTTAGTGGTAGATACTCTAATAATATAAAATGATGGTTTAAGTAGCACTACTTTTCTACAAGCTCTTTGAATTATTACTCAGCTTCATATTGGACAGAGCTTTCTAAACTGGGATACTTGGTTTTTATTGATTTTAAATCAGAAAACAGCTTAAATTAAGATATATGGTATGTCTGAATGCAAAGCTCATTCAGGGTTTTGTTAGAACAGGCAACTTTTACAAGGCAGTTTAAAAAAACACATGTTTACTGAATTCTGTAAAGTGGTTCTTCTCCCAGGAAGGAAATTTCATAATAGGGACTTGCAGAAGAAACTGAGCAAGTCAAGCTCCTGGGGACTCGAGTTAGATACTGATTTAATGATACCAATTTACAGATACCGTGAAGCACAGTCAGTTTTGCACGTCATGCTCTAAACACCCGCTAAACTAATCACTTAGTGTGGCATTATTAGTAATATATTTCATTAGATACTACGAGTTTGGTTACTGGTCTTAGATGGAAGGAACCATGCATGGACATGTGCTGGGAACACAGAGGTCTGTTGCAAGGGCCCAGAACCAGCAAACAGAAGGCAGCACAAGACGGCAATGCATCAGCAGAGCTCTGCAGGACAGCACACATGGAGCCTACCATGGGCAGGGTAGCAGCTACGCACTCCCAGTAGCCTGAACTCAAGGAAACCTCTGCGCCTGTGCCGCTTACCTGATGTCCTTGTGTATGTCATCACAAGCATCACTTCACAAATGCATGAAAAGCAGAAGACTGCACAGAGCACCCACTACTACTGGGAACAAATATCCACTGATATACAAGCTGAAGGCTGTTTTTGTTCTGTTTTGGTTAGGTTTTTTCTCCTTCAAGTACCTGTAGCTTCTGCAAGGAGTATCACCGCTATTGAAGAACCAGTGTGAATGAACACGAGCGGCTATGCTCCAGGTATCCCACATTTAGATAAGCTCTCTCCCTCATCAGAAGATGACTGCACCTTCTTTGTGCTTAGCCCTGACAGCTACTTCAGAAGGCCAAAAGACCCTTTCAACGTAACAAGTGAACAACAGGTGAGATGACCACTTGAAATGAAAAAAATTTAACCTAGTTCAATGAATCTGGTAACAGTACAAGCGCTCACCAGGAGTCTTTACAGGATGTGTCTGACGAGCACCTGCTGCAGCTGACAACCTCTGAGACAGAGGAAGCATCTCTGGAAATTCATCTTCCTCCTCTTCTCCATTCCAATCATCCCAGATTTTGGAGTCCAGGTAGCTTGGTCTACTGCCCGCTGATGAACATGCCTCAATTGGACTCTTTTCAAGACAGAACAAAGTTGTTCTTCTGCCAACAAGACTTCCTCGAAGAGGGGTACTGCCCTTAATTTCCTGACCACAGACTGGGCTCTCCCACTGGTCACGCCAAGAGCCAGGTCTGGGGCTGCTGGCCGTGCTGGTCTTGGCACAGCTGACCTGGTTTGAGTCCTGGCTGTTACCTCTGACTGGTGACACATACTCAACATGCCAGCAGTCATCAATGGGGATTGAGGGCTCGTCACAGAGCAAGACACTACTACTCACAGAGGGCAGACTTACTTCCTTTTCACTGTCCTCTATCTCAACCACACTGATATTTGTTTTCTCTTCCAATGACTGCTTATGGCATGGGGGCACAGGTCTGGACAGAAATGAGATCTTGGCAGATCTTGGAGATTTGCTCTTCCTGTTGGTGCAGTCAGGGGAGAGGAGAACTGGATCCACTGGAGAAACTGGTGGGGAGTTCTTGGAAAATGATGCTGCGGTTGGGCTGCTGGAAGGGCTCTTTTCACTGATTGAGTTCTCCATGGGCAAATGGTTGTGTGACAATGCTGTTTCACAAACTTCTATTAAATCTCCAGCCATTTCATGGTTACTATTACCTGCTGCTAAGTTCTCTGTGCTGAGTTTAGATCTTGGACTCTTTAAAGAATTAATACTTGTGACCTGAGTCTGTGCTGAGAAACTTCTGCTTTTGCTCAGAACTGGTGTGTCCGGCACTAGCCAGGAGCTGTCTGTACCAGAAGACACTTCATGACCGAGCTTCTTCACAGGGCTCAGGTTTGGAGTCCGTTTGCTGTCCATACAAGCATCTATTTGTCTGCCGAGAGGCAAATCAGTGGGCATCTTTACATCATTACTTATATGCGCTGTATCTGTAATGCCACTTGAACTCTGGGATGATCTCTGTTCTGCTTCAGTGACTGATGAATTAGCTTCAGGTTTTGGTATCTCAGGACCTTGTGCTACATTTGTACATTTCAGTTGCCCAGGGATTTCCATTTTCTTCAGAGCAGAGCCTGAACCTGGTGACTTCTTATCTTGTTGTAACTCCATTTCATCATCAGAGGATAAAACAATAACATCACCCTCCTTGTTCCCCTGAGCCGCAGCATCCTGAATTCTGATGACCGGTGATGACAACACCGGGACATATGTATGCTTGTTTAAATCAACGTCGGGAAGCTTAGCTTGAGAAATTGCACTGTCGTTTCCTGATGGAGTATCCAGTTCATCGGCTTTCTTAAAAGTTATTTCATCAGAAGGCAATGATTTTTCCTTTTTGTTCTGCTTCGGCGTTGACTCACGTTCTCTGGCAAACTCTCCCTCTGATTTTGGAGATGCAGGTGAAGAGCCAACAGCAGGAAAAAAGGGCACATAAGGTTTGGGAGGACTCCCATAAAAGCCATTCTTATGTGGAGAGAGGTCTTTTTGTGACTTACTGTACAGAGGTGAATCATTAATATCACCTTGTTTCTCACTAGGAGCCTTTCCAGATTCTCCCCCTTCTTTCACCGGGGAAGGCTCACGGGAGTCTCCCTGAGTTGCAGAAAACAAGCGTTTGTAACTTTCACGCGTATTAATATCACTGAGGAACTGTTTTTCACAGTGATCTGCCCCATCATGTGAGACCTGAGATGACTTGGGATCCTTCACACCTTCACATCTTCTAACAGCCTCTCCTTCATTAGCAGTGGCACCATGGGATGCTATGTCCCATTTTTGAGCTTCACTGTGGTGAGGCACAAAAGTCGTCGGTGAAACATTCGTGCTCTTGCACCTATTTATACTCTGCGTTTTCTCTTGTGCAGACGAGTCGCATTTAGGTCTTTCCACATCATTGTCATCTCCCAAATCTTTGAAGCTGTTGCTTATTGAAGCAGGTTCACATCTCTTTACCTCTTTCTCCTCAGTTTGCAGGTTTGTACCTGGGGCTGCCTCAGTATCACTGCAGATGCTGCAGTCTGTTCCCTCACTCACCTCTGTTTCACCTTGCATCATCTTTCTCTGAGTTGCAGCAAACTCATAGATCTCCTCCAACTCCTGTTCACCCACTCCATTGTCATCTCCCTTCTGGCACTCAGGGTTCAGCATAGCTACCTCTTCTTCATCTTCATCTACCCACACTGACTTCAAGAGGTCTTGGAAATTCTCAGCTCTGTCCTCACAATCTTTGTCATCCCTCACAGAGATAAGATCATCTTCTGAATCCACTCCAGAAGACACCTGAGTCTCTCCAGTGTTGTTCTCACACACTGCCATCAGTTCCCTCACACCAAACCTGCAAGGATAGAACTGTAATGTTAGTATTCTCCTCCTGCAGTATTTCTTGCACCACTTGGTTGCCTGAACACTCTTGTGAGCCTTGTAAAGAATTTGCATGAGAAGAATTTGCTTGTTTCCCAAGATGTACAAGATCCACTATACTCCTAAAATTTGGAATTCTCCTTTCTAGGTGTCACTCACATGAAGGCATCAGGCCAACTTCTTCCTTTTTTATGTCTTGTCTCAAACACCTATATGACTACACAGAAACCTCTGTGCCATTTGCACTGGTGAGAGCCCTATGGATGGTCTGGGGCTGGATAATGTCTGTCATATGCAAGCTTCATGCCTTTTTGGAGTGGCAGGGCACCTTTGTACATTCATTTTGGCAAGACCAAATGACTTCTACCCCATATTTCAGCAACTGCTCCTATTGCAAGGTCTTTACTTAGTGCACACCTAGGATCATGACCAGGAGTGTGGCTGACACAACACATTACCATTCTATGCATCCAAAACATTCTGCAAGTGGTGTTCAGATTAAGTGCATCATTAGTGCAATGCTTTGAGAATCAGATTTAGAAGATATGCTCACCGTCATTGTCAACCATAAGCTGTCAATAAAGAATCTGAGATAAAACTCTTGGCATAAGTTTGCTAGGAATATATTGAACACAGAAAACTCACATAGATACAATCTGAAGAGAAAGTAAAGGAAAGATGAGAGTAGGATGTTCTTATGTTCAAGTTTAATTTAAGATTGTCCTGGTTTGAGCTAAACAGAACTAATTTTCCATTTAGTGATTCTACTTTTCAACTCAGTCTCTTTTAAGTGACTGAACTTGCTGAAAACTAGCAGCATGTTTTCCCAAACAGCGCTGCTAGAAGATATGCTCAAGGTCAGTTGTCTCACCATGGGTGCTGTGTCTGTGCCTACGGGGGGGCAGCGGACCCAAAACTGACCAACAAGGTATTCCATCCCACATACGTCATACTCGGTATAAAAGTCGAGGGATCACGAGGGTCTCGTTCCCTTTTCACCCTTCTTCCATCTTGGAGCCCTTCCATCTCGGACCCTTCCATCCATCTTGATCCTGCAGAGGCCAAAGCCTGAGCAGACCCTGCTGGTTCATCTGCCACTGGTCCTGATTTGTGTTTCTGCATCCTGCTCCCACTGCTGCTGAGTTTGGTCTGGGACTTTTCCAGTGCCCGGCTCCACAGAGCCTCTGGTGACGTATTCGTCATTGGGGGAAGGATCTGATATTGGTTTTGTAGATATTTGTACATATTTGTATATCTTTCATTATTTTCCTATTTACAATATTATCCTGTAGTATTAGTATTATTGTTTCATTAAATCTGTTAGTTTATTTTCCAACCCATAAAGTCTCTCTCCCTTATTCTCTTTTCTCTTCCCTTCTGGGGAGGGGAGAGGGGTTAATAGAGAGAGCCTGTCCAGGATTTAGTGGCTGGCCAGCCCTAAACCACGACAAAGATGTAAGCAGAGGACTATGGAATTTGTAAGCCACTAAAACTGTAACAGAAGATATCAGGTTGGGGTCTGTGTCTGAAAGGATACAAAACATGCTCATGATACAAACCTGGCAGCCAGATCCCCCACCTGGGGCAGCACCCGAGCAGGGACGTGAGCATCAGCAGCATAAAGGTACCGCAGGAATGCACACACCGCCTCTTCGGTTACGTCACTCAGCAGCACACGGTGTGTCTGCGCGTTCCCATCCTCCTCCACTAAGAAACCTTGGCTGTGAACCTAGGGTAGAAAGAAAGCAAAGTCCATTTGCTGGTAAAGGAACGACATCACCCAGCAACACTAATGTTCTTGTTCCTATCAGCTTACTCCTTTCATTTGCTGAAGTCTTATCCTGGGACCAGGATCTGATGCCTCAGAGGGAAGCTAAAATGACCAGTTACACAGAGCTTCATGTAGACCAGGCCTTTTCCTTGCTCACCCTACAGCTGTTAGCTTGGATAAAGTTTGACTACTCGCTGCTTTAGTCACACATATCAAATACGGTCGGAAGAGTTCTCCAGTTAGTTTTGGAATCAAGTTACTTCCCAAAGCACAATTTCCAGAATTATCTACACCTTTCTACAGGTGAGCTTCCTCTGATCTGTTTTGAATTTACCTATCCTTGATGCACTGCCAAAACTCTAGTGCTCCTGGTGTCTCACAGGAAAAGAGACACCATACAAAATCCTACTCCACTGAACTGGATCATTATCTGTGGGTCCAACTTGATCTCAGCTTTTGGTGAAAATGCATCTCCTGTTCAATAAGGTCTCGTTTCCTTTGCAGCTAAATCACATATTGTGCTATCTGAAACTCTCCAAAGTCAGGAGATGCCATGCAACAGAAAACACGACTTCCAAAGTTCTCTCTGATTAATTACTGCCTTCTTGTTTCCCAAAATCTTCAAGAAAGAAGCAGCATTCCCTCAACTATACAGAAAATAAACATGAAATGCTGCTTTGCAGGGGGGAACTTGCAGGAAAGCAACCCTCTGCAGGAATCACAAACACAGCACAGGGCCAGTCTCGCAACTCTACCCAACACAAATAACTGCTGCCCATGAAAACAGTGGTGGGAAGGCTGAAGCCAGGCAGAGTTGCAGGGAAATAATAAGAAAACCTGGCTAAATCAGTGGCTTTTAAAATCTTTTGATTTGTGGGCACGCACGCATTTGCTGGTGGTTGTTTCACATTAAGCCTGCTGTATGGCACATAGGAACTTGCCTCCCCTCCTTGAGCTTTCACCGACTCCTCAGGAATGGCCTGAGTCACCTTGGGTGGAAAGTACGTGCGTGAGGATAAAACTAATTCCACTGTTTTCAAAAGGGCAGCTTTCAAGCTCCCTTTGTTAGGGACCTGGCTGCATGGACTGGTGGCAGTTCTGTGAAAGAGGAGAGTTCAAATCTTAGGCTCGCTGCCTTTCACCGTCCTGACTGGAGGCTGCACAGGAGCAGGCTGAGAACTATTCAACCCAATATGCTTCTGGGAACATAAGAACTACTCCTGTAGCCTTGCAAAAAGCACAGTTCAGTGCAGCTACTTGGAGTAACTGTGAGAGTTACAAAACCTCTATGTAGGTTATTTTCAAGTACTGACCAGAATCTATCTACTCTATACTCGAGCTTCCCAGCCTGGGTGACAGGCAGAACACACCAAGATGGACAAAGCAGTCTGCACTTGAACAGGTACAAAAATTCAAGGGCAAAAAGCACTTAGGAAGCTCTTCCTCCAGTGCTCATGGGCAGAATGCGAGGAAGGATCCTTGCCTTCCCAGAGTTCCCCCAGATAAAGTACCACACTTTCTACCAGTCTGTCAAGAATCTGATTTCCAAAGCTGAAAAACCACTGCAGATCCAGAGGCACTTGCCATCAGCAGTGCTCTGTGCTGCTCTGCTGCAGCACTAACTGATCATAGGTGTGGGCAGTCTCAGCTTTCCTGAAGCAGAGGAGGAAAGTGTGTCAGCAGTACTTACAACCTGGACGGCCTGTGGACACCGTGCGTACAGCACAAACATGTGGGCATAAAGGACTTCCCCAGAGTCTACCTGGAACTGGACATCACTTAAGTGGGGGTTGTTGACCATTGCACTGAAATCTTCAGCCAGCAACCTGAGGGAGGACTAGAACACAGAAGGAACACAAAAACAGAAGTTACGTTACAGCTGTCAAACATTTCCTGGAAAAAGAAGAAGGGAATAACGCAGTTTGTCAGCACTGCTCTACTGTAAGGCCCAGTCTGGACACACCGCTTTTGCCTTCTGAAAATAATAATCAGCTTTATCAAATTAAGGTCTTCCAAACGACAAACAAGCAGACAACTGTAACAGACATTTCTGGCTTTGTTTTCCTCCACTTTTTCCACAGTCTGGCAACTGCAAAGAAAGGGCAGTCATGTGGTATTCTACCGTACTTGTTCTGCCTTGTACTACAGCACATTATCACCCTCAGATCTTCACCACACCATTTCCTCGTGGTTTAGCCACTGCCTACAGTTGGCCTCTTGATCTACTGCCTTCTACCACATTTTTAGGAAACTGTAATTTCCACTTTGAGGGACTTGAACTCAATTCACTATAATTAGAGTAAGAGAAAAGAGGATGATTCAGGGATGGGGTAATGAGCCTTTCTTCTCTTGTTCACTGTCTGGCTGAGAATAGACAGTGTTCAGCTGAGAAGGGCAGCTTTGCAACACAGGGCCCTGCACAGCATAAAACTAATGTAGATGTCTAGTTCAAAGGAAATTATGCACATGTTACTGAAACCCTTTTGAAAATTCCACTCAATTACATAAAAGAAACATAATTTCTATGATCATTATAGATCCCCTTGCTAGAATTTTGGGGAAAGCTGGTTGACTGAGCTACCTGTGACTGGTTACTGGTGACGGTAAGGTCAGGCCTGGGGTACGCTGCCAAGGACAGCAATGATGAACACTCTGTTTTTGCTCTGGAGCTGCTCCCTCCATACCACCCCAGGCAATCTTTTAAGGGCTCAGATCCCTCTAGGCAAGTCTTGCAGCTCTGGAGGTGGCCAGTGCTTCAGAGAAGCGTGAAATACCCTCAGCTCTCAGTTGAGAGGCTGTCTGACTGTAAGTGAAAACCAGCTTGTAGTTAAAACACCAATCACTGACCCTGTGCTTTTCAAACCTACTGCAGAGTTGAGGAACTGCAAGTTTTATTCCAGTGAACATCTGCATGAGACGCAGTTCCACCTGGAACAACACAGCTCTTTATTTTATTAGCAGGTTTCTACGTTAGCTCAGTGGACTGTGGAAACCCAATCTTTCTACTTGCCCCAGCATATGTTTGCGGGCAGCCAACACTAATTAGCACTGAAACAGCAGCGCACACCAGAACACTTCTTTCAGGCTTTCATAGGTGGGCTAGAGAAGACTCTGCGTGTCATGGCAGTGGTGCGAACTGATCTCCAAGGGGAAGACAGGAAGCTTAGTCTGGAAACTAATCTGATGTTTCTTGCTTTCTTATTCTTGGCAGGTAGAATACCTGCAAGACGGTACCTCAGGAAGCCAGCAAACACAGACTCCTGATGCTACGTTCCAGGCAGCAAACCCTCTGCTGATGCTAAAATTATGAATCAGGAATGGGGAAATTAAATAAAGCTAGAAACCTCCTGACTGCACCATTCTCTGTGCAAAGCAAACAGACTGGTCCGAAGACAGCTCCGAGTGGGTACGTGCTCCTGTTGGAGAGCACACCAGAACACTCTCTCCTCCTGAGAAGGCCAGCTAGATTGGACTTCAGAGATGTGACAAGGGTCTCAAGCATGGGTGGGGGTACGTGTTACCAACGCAATGGATGTGTTTGCTCTACATGGTTACACTTTGTCTGTGCTCATATAAAGCACAAATCCCTCCTACTCAGCAACACTTCATTTGCTTAGGAAAACTATCATGGAATCAAACAAAGTCTGAGAAATAATCATACTGGTTTTTGCTGGTACAGACTGAGTTTCAACAACAGTATCAGAACAATTTCTGTATTGCTAAAGGCCTCTGGTTTAATGGATTCAGAAGCTTATAAAACAAGACTTTTTTCTGCTAAGGATTTTAATACCCCCAAAGAATATCTAGTGTTTCTGAAACAAGTAGCTGGGGTGCTTAAGTTTAGTATTGATTCCAACCTCAAATAATCGTCTCCTTTTAGAAATTTCTTAATTCTCTTAACACAATATGAAAATGCTTTCTCAAGGCATCAAAATTCATCTGGCATCAAAAGGCACAAGCTTTCATGGCATGATTATTTACTATCAATCCAAAGATGGTAAGTTTCACCAGATAAAGTGGATGACCCTGGTAAGAAGATGCGTAAGTGTCCTGGTTTGAGCTAAATAGAACT